TTCTAAAAGAGCGTATTGAGTTTAGCAGTTGTGCAAAATTTCATAATTTTCCGAGCCCTTGTTCATATTTAAATAAATTATCAAAAAGCTCCAAATTTGAAAGTTTTGAAACACGCGGTGACGTCACTGCATCTCTCACGTTGGTCGTGTGACGGCCTTTAGCCCGTCTTGACTCGAGAGATGACGTCATACCATCTCTAAGCGATGAATTTCTGAGGCATAATGTTTTATTATTCAAAGCCGCATAACTTTTTTAATATTTATCCAATTGCGCTGAATTTTTTTTTGTGTGCTATATGTGAGTAATACTACATAAAAATATCAAAAAACGTGGTTAATGAAACCTCACTGAACGAGCCTATTCAGTTATTGTAGGTTGATTTTTAAGATTCTTCATGTTGTTATTTTCCACTGGAATAATTTTAAATTTTGGGAAAATGAGCTTTTTTCCTTTCTCTTTACATGCAAAAAGTTTCAAAATTTTCCCTCAATTAGTTTTCCGGGAAAACTTTGAATTGTGTGAGACGGTTTTAACAATTATTTCAGTTATTGTAGGTTGATTTCCAAGATTCTTCATGTTGTTATTTTCCACTGGAAAAATTTAAAGTTTTGGGAAAATGAGCTTCTCACCTTCCTCTTTACATGCAAAAAGTTTCAAAATTTTCCCATCACTAGTTTTCCAGGAAAACTTTGAAATGTGTGAGACTGTATTTTCAACTAATTCAGTTTTTGTAGGATGATTTCCAAGATTCTTCATGTTGCTGTTTTCCACTGGAAAAATTTGAAATTATGGGAAAATGAGCTTCTCACCTTCCTCTTTACATGCAAAAAGTTTCAAAAATTTCTCTTCACTAGTTTTCTAGAAGAACTTCGAATTGTGTGAGACAGTATTTTTTATTAATTTAGTTATTGTAGGTTGATTTCTAAGATTTTTCATGTTGTTATTTTCCACTGGAGTACTTTTAAATTTTGTGAAAATGAGCCTTTGACCTTCCCCTTCACATGCAAAAAGTTTCAAAACTTTCACTCAATTAGTTTTCCAGGAAAACTTTGAATTGTGTGAGACTGTATTAGCAATTATTTCTGTTTTTGTAAGTTGATTTCCAAGATTGTTCATGTTGTTATTTTCAACTAGAAAACTGAGCTTCTCACCTTCCTCTTTACATGGAAAAAGTTTCAAAAATTTCTCTTCACTAGTTTTCCAAGAAAACTGAATTGTGTGAGACAGTATTTTTTATTAATTCAGTTATTGTAGGTTGATTTCTAAGATTCTTCATGTTGTTATTTTCCACTGGAATAATTTTAAATTTTGGGAAAATGAGCTTTTTTCCTTTCTCTTTACATGCAAAAAGTTTCAAAATTTTCCCTCAATTAGTTTTCCAGGAAAACTTTGAATTGTGTGAGACGGTTTAAACAATTATTTCAGTTATTGTAGGTTGATTTCCAAGATTCTTCATGTTGTTATTTTCCACTGGAAAAATTTAAAGTTTTGGGAAAATGAGCTTCTCACCTTCCTCTTTACATGCAAAAAGTTTCAAAATTTTCCCTTCACTAGTTTTCCAGGAAAACTTTGAAATGTGTGAGACTGTATTTTCAACTAATTCAGTTTTTGTAGGTTGATTTCCAAGATTCTTCATGTTGCTGTTTTCCACTGGAAAAATTTGAAATTATGGGAAAATGAACTTCTCACCTTCCTCTTTACATGCAAAAAGTTTCAAAAATTTCTCTTCACTAGTTTTCTAGAAGAACTTCGAATTGTGTGAGACAGTATTTTTTATTAATTTAGTTATTGTAGGTTGATTTCTAAGATTTTTCATGTTGTTATTTTCCACTGGAGTACTTTTAAATTTTGTGAAAATGAGCCTTTGACCTTCCCCTTCACATGCAAAAAGTTTCAAAATTTTCCCTCAATTAGTTTTCTAGGAAAACTTTGAATTGCGTGAGACTGTTTTAACAATTATTTCAGTTATTGTAGGTTGATTTCTAAGATTCTTCATGATGTTGTATTCCGCTGGAAAAATTTAAAATTTTGGGAAAATGAGCTTCTCATCTTTCTCTTTACATGCAAAAAGTTTCAAAATTTTCCCTGCACTAGTTTTCCAGAAAAACTTTGAATTGTGTGAGACAGTATTTTTTATTAATTCAGTTATTGTAGGTTGATTTCTAATATTCTTCATGCTGTTATTTTCCACTGGAAAAATTTTAAATTTTGGGAAAATGCGCTTCTCACCTTCCTCTTCACATGCAAAAAGTTTCAAAAATTTCTCTTCACGAATCTTCCAGGAAAACTTTGAAATGTCTGATACTGTATTTTCAACTAATTCAGTTTTTGTAGGTTGATTTCCAAGATTCTTCATGTTGCTGTTTTCCACTGGAAAAATTTGAAATTTTGGGAAAATGAGCTTCTCATCTTTCTTTTTACATGCAAAAAAGTTTCAAAATTTTCCCGGCACTAGTTTTCCAGGAAAACTTTGAATTGTGTGAGACAGTATTTTTTATTAATTCAGTTATTGTAGGTTGATTTCTAAGATTCTTCATGCTGTTATTTTCCACTGGAAAAATTTGAAATTTTGGGAAAATGAGCTTCTCATCTTCCTCTTTACATGCAAAAAGTTTCAAAATTTTCTCTTCATTAGTATTGTAGGAAACTGCTCTTGTATTTCAACTAAGCGAAATAAAAATAGAAAAAATAAATTTTTTATCACGAGCAATTATGGGGATTTTTAGGGAATTCGTAAGAGACGTTTGTGGGAAATTTGAGAAGAGTTTGGAAAAATTTGCGAGAATTTGGAGGAATTTGCAGGGAATTTAGAGGAATTTGTGCGGTATTTGGAGAAATTTGTGGTGGGATATTTGGAGGAATTTGTGATGGAGTATCTGGAGGAATTTGTAGGGAATTTGGAGGAATTTGCAGGAATTTTGAGAAATTATGTGTAAAAAACTCCCCTTTGAGGTTTGAGGAATTGTTTGCACAAATTCTGGGATGGTAGTTTACTCCTTGATTTTGTATTGGATCTAACTCATGAGAACATACCACTAGAAACTAGAGATGCGTATACATAACTTCAAAACTACTTGTTTGAGTTTGCCTATAACAAGCTTTCAACCCGTAAGTACTACTACCAGGGTTCATGGGACCCGAGCGTTTATTTGTTTTCAAATATTTCGGAGAATTTGGGGAGGAGGGTCAGTTATGCTCCTGGCGATACCCTTAGAACCAAAAAACATATCAAGATACTCATTCATAAAAACACTTTCTCAACAATTGTGCGAACCATACTTGAGAATGCGCATGAACATGAATCACGTATCTAGAAGAATCAGGAATATGTGGGCACATTTACTTGGAGAGGATTAGGGGATCCTGCAATAGCTCCTCAACAGCTTGCCAAGTCAAAACGTCGCCGGTGTGGAATTTGTCCTAGTGCAAAAGACAGAAAAACCAACAATTGCTGTTCAAAGTGCAAAATTCCTATTTGTCTGAAATGCGTTTCCAGAGCCGATCCTAAGGTATCGGCCGCCCACGTGCAAAGAACAATCGCGCCGCCCCATAGAGATATAGCACCCTTACGTAGGTGGCAGAGGTGGTAGCTCGCCGCAGGCGCCGCCGGATGCAGAAATTTTTTTTGGGTGCCACGCCCAAAAGCGTTTATTTCGAGCCTCAAAATGAAAGTTTTTGAGCGTTTAGAGTTAAAAAAAAACTTGTTTGGAACAACATATCAACATATTTGTTTTCTATAAGTTGTTTGAATGCGGGTGAGTGGTGATCAATAATGACAAACACTATCCTAAACTAAGTAGGGCCTGGCTTGGGCCTAGGTACGAAAGTGAAGAATAGGGCCCTGGGGAAAATCAAGGCACCCCAGTCCCTAGTCGTAATACTTACCTACAATATACCCACCTACACTTGGAAGTCTTTGGTATAGTTTTTCCAAAGTTAATTGAAACAAGGTGAAGATAAATTATAACTGGTGGCTGACTAGTGGCAGTGCATTTTTTATGGAAATTTTCAGTGACTAATCAGCCACCAATTGGTAACTTGTTCCAATTGAGTTTGGAAATACTATATCAAAAAAGTTGGTAATATTGTTAGCGGGAGTATTCATCTAGGTCTGTTGGACGGCAGAACTAGGTGAATTGGGAACAAAAATAAACATTTTGAAAAAACAAAGCAGAAGTATTTAAGAAATTTAAAAAATTATGTGATCTTATGATGGATGTGTACAGAGTTAGAACATTAGGCGTGAGCCTACACATTTACTATGCACTAAACTTTCTATTTATGCTATCAGGAGATCGGGGTTTATTTTCATTTTTCAGGAGTTTTTTGAAGTTCAGCTTATTTCTTTATTCGAAGTAGTTTTATTTTTAGAAATTCGTAAAAAGTTTTACTTGAATCTTGAATGGCAGAATTATAGGCGGCCTGCGGCCGCCCCTTGGTTTGGCCGCCCGCTAGCAGGTGTGCACCTGCTAGGATCGGCCCTGTACGTTTCATTGGTATGTCCAAACCTCATTTAGCCATGGATTCTATGTAAGAAACTATGAAAAACAAGTTCAGTTTCAACTTTGTCTAATGAATATAATGTTTAATTTTTTTTCTGCATACAATTTTGTTTTTTTTTTATGGGTCCCCGAGACCCGATAGTAGTACTTATGTTACTACATTTTGGTAGTAGTACTTACGGGTTAAAATGCTGAAATTCAATTTTCTTCATTATATTTATGAAACGATAAAGACTCATGCATGAATTAGCAATTGAAATAGATTTGCCAAATGCACTTTGTCTTGGATAGTTAAACTTTCTATTTTTTTCCTCAAATTAATCATACTTAGGCATTTAAAAAGAAAAAAAACTACTATAACGTGGTTCCAAATTCCTTTCCAAACGACTACCTTTGCTTGGATGATGACCGTGTAATTAAAAACAATGAATTTAAATTTATAGAAAATGTGTTTTGCTCGGTTACACACATATACCTCATGGCAAAAAAAAACTTACCTTTTAAAACAGGTTTTTGATGTCTTTCTAAGTCTTTAAGGTTAACAAAGTTGCTGTATCAAACATATTACCATCTCTTCCAATTTCAGTTTCCTGAAAAAAAAATTAAATCATTGTCAATTTCCATTATACAAAACAAAATAAATGCATTAACTGGCACCAACATAATATTACGTACACGAAATCTAGGGCAAACGACATTCTAAAAACCAACCAAAAGATCTCTGGGTTATAAGTATGGAGAAAAATCAACGGTTCGAGTTTTTCATTTGGAGATTTCCTAAATCTTTAATTGATCGGCGATTTTCCCACAACATCCTTGTCTCAGTTAAATTAAATTTTCACAATCAAATTATACTGAGCGACCTACAATCATTAACGTTGCAGTAAAATGCAGGAAACGAAACAACCTTTTAGATGTCGATAACGGAACTTTATACACAAATGCCACACTGACCTCAGTTCTCAATGCTTATTAAATCGTCAATAATATTTCTGGCATTGATTTTGTCTTGTCTTGAAGGCGCTTTTGCATTTTTTACTTGCTGTTTAGAAGATTCCAAATAAAAGACAAAATAGGAGTCATTTTTATTGAAAGAGATTTTAACACAGGCAAAATTAACCGCAACTACCTAAATGTTTTCAAATTGTTTCTAAGAGAAAAATCTCAAAATAGCAACATAGAAGTGATAAAATAGGTATAAGAGGCTCTCTATTATCTGAATTAAGTAACTTAGCCACACTTGAACAATGTACCTTTTCTCGACATTATTAATAATATTATCAGTTAGATATTCCTTGGAAAATATCGACTTTCTGCGAGTCTTATAAAAGTTTTGTTTATGTTTTTAACATCATCATGATCGACCCTGTATTCTCTTTGAAACATGATGAGCTTATTAATGAGGCTAACCGGTTTTATAAGGTATACAGGACGTGACAGGAAAAAACACACACCGACACACTGATAATTTAATAATCTGTGATTCTGTGGAAATTTAGTCAAGGATATTATTTTTTTTAAAGTTTACCCAAATGATTGGGAATTGCAGGAATATACTAATAATTGAAATCTTTATCAAATGATGTATTTTTACAAGATTTTGTTGTAGATTTAAATTGTCGGAATATCCCCAAAGCCCAAAGTGGTTCAAATCCTATAAAATTTTTTCGTTGATAAATTTTTTTGTTCCTCCTCAAAGTTTTCTTCGGTATAATATAGGTAGTCCTCGTTTCTCAGGTTCGATATTTCAAGCTTTTATCTGTTGAACAAGTGCAGAAATTTTTTTGGTACTTAGGGGTTAACTCTTCAACAACACAGAATCCTTAGGAATCTTGTTGGGGAGTACCTACACCTACTAATGTTCTTGTTACCACCATTTTAATAGTCAAATCACATTCCTTGCCTTTGAGAGTGCTTTGAGCAATGAGACTTTCATGGTTCTTCTTGAGGGAAAAGGGAAAACTGATGAACGTTACACTTTGCCTTTACCCCTATTTCACTATGACATCATATCGGATATTCTTCTGTAGCTTTTTCCTCTTTATTATCTTCTGCCTTCGTTCTTTTTTCTCTTTCTGCCTTCCTTCTTCTTAATCTTGTGAAATTTTCCGGAGCTCGTCCTGTTTTCTTCTAGTTTCCCTCTTAGTCGTTTGTCATTTTGTTCTTGCAGTATTTTCTGGTGATGATCCTGTTCTGCTTTTATTCTTCTCTTCGGAAATTTCCAACAAGGCCGCACCTGTTTATTTGATTTTCCATTTGATCAGTCGTATAGCTACCATGGGCGAAAGTTATTATTACTTATGCACCCATACCAAATGTTACGCTTGCAGGTTCTCAGACAAGTACCTAACAATCAACTAAATTAAAAATTCTAATGGCTATTTTACTGATTATGATGAAAGGAATACCCAAATTCCTTTCTAGCTTGTAAAAACAGGATTTTTAATAGCGTAGATCAACCATTCGTTTTCTTTACTTTTGAATACTAATTCTGTTGAACTTTTTTTTTGAATTTTCTTGTAACCTTTGGGGTAAATCAAATTATATTTGTCTTTTTTTTTATTTTACTGTTTATACTCTGCAGTGTATTGTATTGATTTGCCACAAATTATTCACCAAAACACATTTCTAAAATTTCTATATACATTTGCACAATAACCAGTCATCAAATAATAGTTTATAACAATCAATATCTGAAATATAAGTATGGGAAAGTTAGAAAAAATTTCCTTGGAGTCAAAAATACAACAAAAACTGCTGATAATTTCAACAATTAAAGTACTAATTCTGTCGTTTTCATGCTTATACATTGGAAAGTTGATAATCTCTGCAAACCACATGCACAATTTCTGCCCTACTTAGTACTAAAATAAAAGCATTTCCAATAAAATACACAATACTTTTGGTTGTCCGTGCGGCACTAGAACCAACTAGTCATGCATGGGAACACGCTAATAACAGAGAAATTTTTTTAAGCATATAATCATCATTTCATTTTACGACGTTTTGAAATGATTTGTATGATATATCATCAAAACGGTTTCTGTTATGAAAATTTTGTTAGGTAACAGACACTATAAATCCTAGCCTAGCCTAGTTCAAAAGGATTTCGTTGCCAAAAACCTAATTTAAAAGACGCTTAGAAACAAACATTTAGCCCATACCAAAGAAATTTATTTGCTATTAAATAATAATCATTCGGCAATGGGCCAGAAAGAAAGCCGTTATATAATAAGCCAGCCACCGAATTTAAATTTATGCCCAGGCTCTTAAATAATAATTGGTAAATGAAAGTTATGACATTGCTTTCCCATGCAATGACCCGTGTTGCAATACTTTGTCTGAGATATTTAATAGGTTTTTGAAAATTTGAAAGCTTATTGTGTTTTTATGATGAAAGCGATTGCATCCTGAGATTATTTTATTTCCGCACCTGGGGAAAACCTCCCTGCAAGTTTTTATCTTCACACAAGAAAGTGCAGACGAAATCAGGGAAGTTGGTAGAAACCTGGGAAATATGAGGATACTCAAAAGAAAAGAGAAAATGTCGAGAAAGTTTTGCCTCGGGTACTCGGGTTTTACTCAGCAGATAGATGGAATATGTTTGAGAAGAAATTAGGAATTAGGAAATCCGAGAAAGTCTTGTTACAAAATTGCATCGCATTCAAAAATTCTATTGTGTGATTTAAGTACCTAAACAAGCATTTCATGATTTTAGAAATATCTCCACTCGAGTGAAATTTTTTTGTAAAGTATGTGTAGGCAATTGTAGGTCAAGACAAAGTCTCAGTTCAAATAAAAGAATTATTTTTGTATGAAATTAACTATAAAAGCGATAAGGGAATTTTTGTCAAATCAATTAGTCAGTGAGGCATAGCCCAAAGCGATTTTAACATCACATTTAGTAAAGATTCCACCTGCAATAGATTTTTTTCGTAGAGCCTGGAGGGTGTTTCTAAATGGATACCAATGATTCAACTCTTGATAACCTGAAGCTATCTTGTGCTGACTTGAATTTCAAAATTAAACCCATGATTGCTAAAAACTACACCACAATTTCTGGCGTGTTCCAAGTTCGGATTGGGGACATTCATTGACATGCAAACGAGCATGCAAATTGTTCAAATCAATTTAAAACCAATTTACATTGTCTGTGACAAGGTTTGTGTTTATATTAAGCAGACGTCTTTTGACGTTGCCTCGTGTTTTGGTTTCAGAATCTGTGTGCCTCATGCTGACGAAGTGTTCCTTTAATATTGAAGTTCCCTCCTCAATTAATACTCTACTTAGACGTTCCCATGTCATTGATCTGCCAATTTCCACCTCTTAACTTACTTAAAAATCTATTCACTATATTAGTAAAAAAATCACCTATATCTCAATATTGGTAAGGAGGATAAAGAAGTGTAGAATGAATTTTCAAAAAGCAAGTTAAAACGTTACTTCTGGCTAAGGCTTTTTACTCTTTGAAAAAATACTTTCCATTTCATATGCATAATAGTGTTATGGTTCTTTTTTTTTGGTATTGGTGTTTTTTTTTGTAATTTTAATACAATGTTTTGATTTATCTGTGCATGTGCATGTGCCTCTGTGCCCTCTGTGACTGATTTTTCAAGCCTTTGATTTTTTTGTAATCCGTTTAGTTTAAAATTGATTTTAGTAGACGTAAACAATATTTCTTTCCACTAATAGTTTGAATTTTGATCCAAGTTTTTAGATGATGGTGAAACCCCCACTTTTCCGCATGCATTTTAGATTATGAAAGTACCACTTTTCCGCACTTGTGCGTGAAAGTTGAGGTGGGTATACAGGTGCGAGTGCGGAAAAGTACCTACTTTACCGCATCTCATCTGAAATTGGTAAATATACTTTGTTAGAAAGTTTTTTCAGGTAATGACAAAGGTGAAATGAGGGACACAAGAATCCCTGTCAGGGATTGGCACGAGAATGCGGGGTCCACTGCTCAGTGGGTCGATTCTCAAACAGGGATTCTTGTGTCCCTGATTTCACGTTGATCATTACCTGAAAAAACTTTCTAACAACTATTTAGGGTAGCTTTATTTTTTTGTGAACAGTTTAATTGTTTCTTGAGAATAAAGCATATTTTTTGTTTTTTTGTCTAATATCAACCTTATAGCTTTTTTTAGTAGCAAAATTGCCTATCGAAAAAGAAATTTCTAAACAGATTCAAAAGCGAGTTCAAAAGTACGTAGAAAATTTCAAAATTTCAAAATTTCACCCTGTTTATGCAAAGAAATATGAAATTTTGAGTAAAAATATGTCGAAAGTAAACTTTCGACCCGTGGGCCGAAAGTAAAAGTCAAAAAAGTGACATTTTCGAACTTTTTAAAAGTCAGTAAAGTCAACATTACATGTATGATTGTAAATAAAGGTATTTTACACACATAGTGCATACAAAAATTTGTCTACTTCCAATGAAATATGTGTAAAAAAATAAATTTAGACAATGTATTTTCGCTTTATGCACTAGTGCATGAAGTAATTTACCAGAAAAAAACTAAATTGACAGTCGACATCTGTCATTGACATTACTTTAGGCACTAGTGTGTAAGGTGAATCGCTTTACGCACTAGCGGGTGAAGTGAAATTTTGCATACTTTAAATAGTGTTTAAAGTGAGAACGTTACGCCCGGTAGTAGAAAATAGTTATTTATGCAACAAGTGAGTAAAGCTCGGTGTAAAGTGAACCCTTTTTCACGAATGTGAATTTTGACGCACGAGCCGAAGGCGAATGCGACAATCACATAAGTGAAAAAAAGTTTTTACAGTTCAACTGTCAATTTTACAAGTCAGTAGAGCCAGTAGCTTGTTAAAATCAAGTTTTTTTATTTATGTTTTGACTTGATAAATGACGTTTTACAAATGAGTGACAAATAAACTATTTAACTAATGGCTGTTTGCACCAACCATTTTAAGGAAGGCTTAACAATAATCAGTGCTTAAAGCGACATGTTTACATGTAAAAATGTCACTTTAAATGTTGATTAATTGTTAAACTTCCTTTAAATGGTCGGTACAAAGGGCCTTAAGTCAGTTTTAGGCATACAGGGTGCGTCAAAAAAGTGCAGCTGTGTGAAGTTATATATTTTTAAATAGAACACTTAATATATTGTGCGCTTATTTGTTAGTCCCCTTCAACCTGATTTTGATAGACATATCAAACCGTATACCTATCGTTGAAATGAGGTTGAAAGAGACTAACAAATAAGCGCACAATATACAGGGCATTCCATTTAAAAAAATATAACTTCATACTGCTGCACTTCTTTGACGCACCCTGTACGCCTAAAACTGACTTAATTGAAAACTTTTGACAATTTCTTGAAACTTATGTATTTGACACTTTTGTCAAAAAAGTCAAATGAAAAAGTTAGAAGGGGGTGACATTTATAATCGATCACCCTGTACAGGATAATCTATCTTGGTTGTACAGGGTCATCTATTATAAATCTCGCCCGCTTTTAACTTTTTCATTTGATGTTATTGACAAAAGTTTCAAATACAAAAATTTTTAGAACTTGTCAAAAGTTTTTAACAGTCAGTTTTAAGCTCGGTTTTAAGCATACAGGGTGCGTCAAAAAAGTGTAGCATTGAGAAGTTAACGTGAAAACCCATTTCAAAGTCTCATGTTGAAGAAAGAAAAACTATACCTACCATTTAAGCTTGAGAGAGAATTGTTTGTAACAGTTTATTGCTCAAATGGTATTCAATAATTTACTTATCAGGTGGAATTGGAATATTATAATAAATCAAGATGTCTTGAGTTATTATTATTATTGAAAAAAAAAAAACATTTAGGAAGGGATTTATGCGTTTTTCCCTATTTTTATTAAAGATATACCGACAGATAAACATATCGAAACGTATATCGTTCAAATCAGGTTGAAGGGGAGTAACGGGACTAATACATAAGACATCTCTTAAGCTGGAAGAGCAAAGTCAGCAGAATCGAAAATCAATACATGGAACATTAACGGCTCATTAAAGGCTAATTAAATGCCCCGATGAGAAATTTAATGCTCCTTAATTTTTCGCGAAAATGAGTGTTCTGCTAGCTTTAACTTAAGCTAGCAGAACATGAGCGAAAAAGTGGTTAAAATAACGAAAATTGCAATTCCACTTGCACAGACAATAAAGGCTCTGAAAATGCACCAATATTGAATTTCAGGCTCAATTACTTTTTTTGTGAAAATGCAAAAAGCGCGATGTGTGAATGATGTCGGCCAAGCATGGCAGAAAAATCTCTCAGATGGTGAAAATCAGCGTTCCGATAGTACAATCCTCGGTACAATCTTAGTGAATACATTAAAGGCAAATTGAATGCTGTAGGTAATGAGATATTTTAGACTCCTTGAATTTTCGCGAAAATTGCTATTCTACTACCTTCAACTTAAGTTAGCAGAACATGGGCGAAAAAGTGGTTAAAACAAAGAAAATTTCAGTTGCACATGCACCGACATTAAAGGCTCATTAAAGGCTCTGGAAATACAACAATCGCGAATTTCAGGCTCAATTACTTTTTTGTGAAAATGCGAAAAGTGGCGATATATGGGTAATGTCGGCAGAGCATGGCAGAAAAACCTGTCAGACAGTGAAAATTAATGTTCCGGTAGTGCAGTCGTTGCGAATACATCAAAGGCTAATTAAATGCTGTAATGAGAAATTTTAGGCTATGCTAGTTTTCGCGAAAATGGCTATTCTGCTAGCTTTAACCTAAGCCAGCAGAACCTGAGCAAAAAAGTGGCTAAAATGACAGAAATTGCAATTCCACTTGCACTGACATTCAAGGCTCATTAAAGGCTCCGGAAATACACTAATCGCGAATTTCAGACATTTCTAAACTTACCAATAATAACCTGGTTAGTTTGGGTACTTGGCAATTTTAATCAGACTTTCCCAAACCCACTAAATCAAAAAAGTAATTGAGCCTGAAATTTGCGATTGGTGTATTTCCGGAGCCTTTAATGAGCCTTCAATGTCTGTGCAAGTGGAATTGCGATTTTCGTTGTTTTGATCACTTTTTCGCTCATGTTCTGCTGCCTTAGGTTAAAGCCAGCAGAATAGCCGAGAGAATAGCCATGAAATTGGCGCCTGGTGGAGCCTAAAATTTCTCATAACAGCATTTAATTAGCCTTAAATGTATTCACTACAACTGCACTATCGGAACACTGATTTTCACCGTCTGAGAGGTTTTTCTGCCATGCTTGGCCGACATCACTCACGCATCGCGCTTTTTGCATTTTCACAAAAAAAAAAAATTGAGTCTGAAATTTGGGATTGGTGTATATCGAGAGCTTTTAATGAGCCTTTGATGTCTGTGCACTGGAATTGCAATTTTTGTTGTTTTGGCCACTTTTTCGCTCATGTTCTGCTGGCTTAAGTTAAAGCTAGCAGAACACTAATTTTCGCGAAAATTCAAGGAGCCTAAAATTTCTCATTAGGGCATTTAATTAGCCTTTAATGAGCCTTTAATGTTCCATGTATTGATTTTCGATTCTGCTGACTTTGCTCTTCAAGCTTAAGAGATGTATAAATAAGCACACATGGTCTTCTCTTTGAAAAAATACAACTTCGCTCTGCTACACTTATATGACGCACCCTGTATGCTTGAAACTGACTTGGGCCCGTATTACATCTGTGTATTTTTCCGTGTATTTCTTCATGTAGTTCAGGGTGCCAAAATTATTTTTTCTACTACCGTGCGTAAAGTACTCACTTTACACACTATTCAGAAGACGTAAAATTTCACTTCACGCACTAGTGCGTAAAGTAATTCACTTCACACACTAGTGCGTAAAGTAATGTCAATGACAGATGTCGACACTGTCAATTTAGTATTTTTCTGGTAAAATACTTCACGCACTAGTGCGTGAAGTATTTGTCTAAATCTATTTTTTTACACATATTTAATTGGTAGTAGGAAAAATTTTGTATGCAATACGTGCGTAAAGCACCTTTTTTCACTCATGTGAATGTCAAAATGAACATTCGTGAAAAAAGGTTCACTTTACACACTTGTTGCATAAATAACTATTTTCTACTACCGTGCGTAAAGTACTCACTTTACACACTATCCAGAAGATGTAAAATTCCACTTCACGCACTAGTGCGTAAAGTAAATTACTTCCCACACTGGTGCGTAAAGTAAAGTCAATTACAGATGTCGACAACTGTCAATTTAGTATTTTTCTGGTAAATTACTTCACGCTAGTGTGCGTAAAGTGAAAATACTTCACGCACTAGTGCACTAGCGAATTTGTCTAAATCTATTTTTTAAACATATTTGATTGGTAGTAGAAAAAAATTTGTATGCAATACGTGCGTAAAGCTCCTTTACCTACGAGCGTGCGGTAAAGTGCACTTTACCGCACGTATTTGCAAATGGAAAGTATCACTTTACCGCACACTATGTGGTAAAGTGCACTTTACCGCATAGTGTGCGGTAAAGTTAACTTTACAGCATAGTATGCGGTAAAGTAGAATACAAAGTGTACGGTAAAGTGCACTTTACCGCATAGTGTGCGGTAAACTAGAATTTGATATTTATAATCAAAAATCCTCTCTTTTTCAGAAAATGAATTTTTGATCATTTCTAAATCTTATCTAATTTCATTAATTAATCTGATTCATTAATTAATTTTATCAATGCCTTTTTTTTGGAGATGTAGATGCTCATAGGTAAAATTTTGTACCTAACACATGCGGAAAGTGCCTTTACCGCCCTTAACGGCTTGACCGAACTCCGCTTCGCGTCGTTCGGTCAACTGCCGTTGCATGCGGTAAAGTATCACTTTCCGCATTTGTTAGGTAAATAAGTATTTACATACAAGTCAGTAGAATTATTTATTTTTAAAAAATCAGTTTCATCACAAGAATAATTGCTCGTAGGTACCTTCTGGAAGACTTTTCTGGTGATAAACTCTTAGCTACGACTGTAGCTCGATGCTTGTACGAGAAAAAATCAAGGGAAAACATGTAAGTAAATTTTAAAATTTTGTTATGTATTAATTTTTTATTTATCGCTATATCTTTTACAAATGAGTAACAAATAAATTATTGTACATTATACGCCAGATAGCAGTTTTTTACTGGCTCTTGAAGGTGACAAGCTCGCCTGACGGGTCGCTAGTCATTTCCTTCAATCGCCAGTAAAAACTGTTTTACCTGGCTAATAATGTAAAATACTATAATGTGTCAAAGTCAAAAATCGAAAATGGAACAAGCTTTAAAATAGTATACAAACCTCGGAGGAAAGTTTTCATTTCTGTCTCGAGATTAATAGTCAATCTCGACGCTTCGCGTCTTGATTGACTATATAAATCTCTCGACAGTAATGAAACACTTCCCTACTCGGTATGTAATATACTATTATTTGCAACCATATATGTAATCTCGACATTACTGACTTTTTAAAAATTTGAAAGTGACGCTTTACCTGTGTCACTTCCCTTTTCGATTTCCCTCACCGATTTCCCTATTCGACTTCCCTCACCGATTTCCCTCACTCTAATTTATTTACCTTTGCTGGCAACAATGAGAACATGTCAGGTAAAAACGTCAAAACAGGTGAACGACATATTTTGGCATGTTTGTTTTATTTTCTTAATATTAAAAAAATTGAATGACTAATCATAATTAATGGTGTTGCTTGCAAATAAAATAGTATACAAACCTCGGAGGAAAGTTTTCATTTCTGTCTCGAGATTAATAGTCAGTCTTGACGCATCGCGTCTCGATTGACTATATAAATCTCTCGACAGTAATGAAACACTTCCCTACTCGGTATGTAATATACTATTACAATTTCTCGACTTTTTTTTATTTAACACTTCTGTCAAAAACATCAAATGAAAAAGTTAGCAGGCAGGGGCTTAAATTTATAATAGATCACCCTGTACAACCAAGATGGGACACCCTATAGCTTTCTACTCTCAGTTGCAAAGTTTTTGCATAGGCTTTATTATTTGAAGCCTATGTTGTGTCTTTAATAATTATTAGCACAAGAAAAACAGTAACATTCAATTGGTATTAAAGAGTAGTAGGAGGCGTACATTTTAGGCTCAAGGTAGAATGCTAGGATAATGCTTTGTGGAACCAATAATACATTTGTTTGAACCAATAAACCATCAACAGCTTTTGCTTTTGCTTTATAGCATAGATCAGAATTAAGGGACTGCTTTTTAGTACACATGAATTATCTTATCTCTGCCAAAAGAGATTAGAGTCAAGTCTTTCTACGGTACTCTATAAAATGAAGAAGTTAACAAACTGTAGAATAGAAATTGGCAAATTAGGTGCCATAAGCTATTGCATGTTATGAGAGCGTTAAATGAGAAAATTTGCAACAAATTTACCAAATTGAGCAAGAAACTATTGTGAAATATTCTCTTGTGCTTACTTACAGATTCAGGAATTTCTTTAATGATTCATGGTAATTCTGCAAAATACCTCTAAAACAGAGGTAAATCCGTATGAAGCACTTATTATTGAATTTCAGAAATCAATAACAAAAACGTAAACAAACTTTTAAAACTGATTGATTGATGATTTCTGGTTCATTTGTATGTTTTTGTTTGCATTAGAAAAGGGCGTATCGTTTGGAAACTATATCGATATGTACATCGATTCGCATTTGTCGTATCGATGAGGATCTTGCAACCGATATCGACCAGAATCAGAAGCAAAATGACATTCCATTAACCAAACCAAAATAACAAACGGAACATACCGCGTAGACGGACACGTCAGTCAACTATACTGGAATTAAACATATTTCCCTTTTTCATTAAAATTTCAAAAATATTAGCCTAAATTTAAGCCGGAAAAGCAATGGATTTCTTCAAAAGTATTCCATTCCATATGGTAAGCGAGAAACTGCATTCATGTGGCCTAAATTCTTCCATTAATACCCAATAAAGCAGTGTACCATTTGAACACAAAAAATTAAACGACTCAATTATTTCTAGGATTTTGAGGGCCAACACAAGGCCGAAAGACTCTCAAGAATCATAATTACCCTTCACGGAATTGTGGGTCTCATTTGGGGCTACGCCATTCAGCAGTTTTCCCAGACTGTTTACATTTTGGCTTCAGGATTTCTATTGGCTAGCATTGTAAGAACTCTATTCACCGTAAAATTATTTTTAAAAATCTCTTTTTCAGCTTACTATTCCACCATGGCCCATGTACAGAAAGAACGCATTAAATTGGCAACCAGCTAGAGAAGGTGATACAGCAGTTACTTCCAAATCAAAAAAGAAGAAATAATTAGAGCTTAGTTTTTGTTGTTAAATTATTTTTTTGTGATGTTTGAAAAACTAATTCTGTAATTGATCGAAAATAAAATAACCACATTCCATACATTATAAAACTAATTTATTTTCTAACATTACTCTTATAAATACGTTGTAGAGCATCTAAAGCAGCCATATCTTTGGCTATTTGTATATTTTCACCCCAACCTAAACCAAGACAGGATTTATCTTTGCCATTATACAGCCCCACTTGGTAATTAGCTAAAATAGTATTGACTGCACTTTTATTGCATAATCTGGGTTCAACTTCTTGTACTCCTTGACCTTGTAAAATGTTTAATAAATAGTCGTAAGGTTTCTCAGGGGTCCATACGTCAGAAATATCTTTGTCAACCATTTGGCAAATAACAAAATCGTTTATAAAAAGCTTTACTCTGGATTCATCTACCGATTTTGATAAAGCAGCAACGATTGCTTTGAAAGTGTCTGCTGTAGTTTTGGTTTCTGGAGGAAATTCCTAAAAAACAACCAGTTAATAATATAATCTGAAATAATAAAATGTATTCTTACAGCGGATATTATAAGATCGTTTACTCCTAAATGTTTAGCAATATTTGCCAGCATTTCATCTGTTGTTAAATAATTACAAACAGCATTAACTATATCTTGTGGGTATGATTTCGAATATACTTCCTTAATAGTGTTATAAATTAGTTTAAATCCTTCATGTGCTAATTCAAAATTGTTTGGTATCGGTTGTGAAGACTCCTCCCCTATAAAACCAAAACTTTTCTAGCCAATTTCAAATAGGTGAGTAGGATTTTTTACCAGTTTCCTCAGTTTTAAACTCTTGTAAATTAGCCCATTCGCGTTGAACAAATGCGGTTTTTAAAATACCCACATCAAACTTTTCTCCTAGTCGTTTGCAGAAGCAATTTATCTCGACATCATAATTCCATTCTAAATGGCTTGAGCGTGGTTTTTCAGGTTCGGGGCCGAGTTCCTTACGTCTCCTGGCTAGAACTCTCATTGTTGGAGCCACCCATCGATGGATATTTTTTGGCTCTAAGAGAGGAGAGGATAGTAGATTAATTAGATTTTGTTAGATGTAACTTGTAATTTTAGGAGATTACCTGTTTTTAGGATTTGTGCTGTGCTATGATTGCATAAAATACGCTTTGATAAACGTAAAGAATATCTCCAAAGGGACATTTCTCTTTGGTAATATAGGAAAAATAGAGGGAAATTATTTGAGAGGTATTTGAAGAAGTTTACTACTAAAAAATGTTTCAGGTTAGGATTTGTCTGACATCATAAATGTCAGATGATTTTCGTTGCTGTGGGCTGCGTTCAAGAACCCATTTGCTCGCTCCGAGCCCAAGAACACTTCTCCGAAACCCAGGTCCTAAAACACTAGTCAGAGTCAGAGTGGACCAGACTGTCGACCCACTCTGACCGTTCGAGTATATCTTTCAAAAGTAAGTAGAGTCACATATTCGACTTCAAGAGGGTGTGACCCTTTGAATGTGTTACAGATCTGCTGCCACCATTATAAGACAGACATTCCTATTTTCTATGAGCTAGACAAAGAAAGGCTGATAACTGATGGATCCACCGCTGAATAAAAGAAAGCGCCCTTGTTTTCCTTTGAAGAGTTTGAAACACTCGAGTTACTGGCTCCGGTATTCAGTCGCTCCCGATTTACAGGGAACAGATTCGTGGTGCAACAAACACTTTTTGAAAGGAATAAGCGCGTGAAGCCCCGGACCTGCTGCTCCCGAGCTCCTCCTAGGTGTGAAAGGAATACAACTATTATGACGTCACTTGTCAGTTTCACTCCACTACTCCACTCGTCCACTCCTTTCTCGCTGTCCTCTCCTCATAGTCCTCATTCACTTCGGTATGTGAATTTCAATCAATCGGCATCGCATAAATCGTACTCCTATCGGCCCAATCGCCATTATTATTATTTTATTGCCATGCCAAGTCACCAAGCCAGAATTCACCCAAGATATTGATTAATTTTAAATTGTGTGTACCAATTTATATTCCCTCTAACGTTTTTTTCTTCACCGCTAAACTCAAGTCTCTGCGAGTGTCTGGAGTGCTTGAAAATTACTGTAAGAATGTCGATTGAATATTTGCAAGTAGCAGAAGATGAGGGTGAAGAGCCCATTGAGCTCCCCACCGAAGACGATGGTACTTTGCTTTTAAGCACGCTGGCCGCCCAATATCCTGGGGCTTCGGGGCTCAAATACAGGAATCCCGAGAATAAATCTGTGAGGGGTGTGAGATTGAGCGATGGAAGATTGCATCCGCCCGCAGATGGGGGCTGGGGGTCGCATATTTATAACTGTGTGTTTCCTAAAGGTTAGTATGATAGCAGAGATGAATGACCTCATTTATTTGTTTTGTAAGGTAAGAAGATAAGGCAGTGCATAAATAAGTATATCATGGTTGATTAATCGAACAAAACCATAAAACAACTATTTATGTTTTAAGTACATAAAGTAGAGCTTTAATGGCCAGACCAATCAATAGAGCTCAATGTATGTATCTTGCATACAAGATTTTATGTCCATTGCTCTGTTAAGACCTCATCCTATCCCAGCAGACTGTGAAATAAAGTAGCTTCAGCGGAAATAGGTAAGGTGATACTTTTTATGCCACAACAAAAGTACCACTTCATCTCTGCTAAACTGTATAATCACAAGCACTTAATAGAACAATCGGACATAAAACCATTTCTGAATGTTTGCACTTATTTTAAACTGAAATAATTACCTGACAGTGCTTTACCTTCCAAAAATGAAAGAAATGTCTTCTTGGTACCAGTTGCCTGACTCCTGACTTGTTCTGCCTGATTCAGTTTGAAGAGATTGATTGTAGAGAGAACAAATGTATTCTTACCTAAAGTGTATAAATGTTTGACCCTTTGTAAGTAGGTACCTACATAAATACAGGGTGCTGGGTGCTCATTTACTTACATTACAACTTGCTACCCCTTCCAACCCCTCAGGGGCTGTGGGGTTGAAAGTGAATTTGGCATAAAAACTCATCTCCCTTCAAATTATAGTTGATGTGTTTCACAGATTTTTTAAATATTTTTCAACTCTGAGATAATAGGGGTGGTAAGTTTCAAAATGAACACCCTGTATCTTGATAATTATTACCATACCAATGATAAGCATCTTATTACTTGATGGATAGTCTTTAATTCTGAGTTTTCATGAGCACATGAGTAAAGCTCTTATTTTTGGTTTGATTACACACCTACAATAGAGGAGATTTCAGGATCGAGGATCGAATTGGAATCATTAACTAGCAATTTACCTAAGTATTCATTTACAGTTTTTGACTGTCGTTTATCTGTCTGTACCATAGCTGCTCAGATAATCCGGATTTCTTACATACGTATTAAATATGCAACTTATAAGAACATACAAACACAAACATATACACAGTGGTCTGCAGATAGAAACATAATAAAAAGTACAAAACCGAACAAAGAAATTCAATTTTAGGATGAGTACAGTTTTCTGTCAATTATCATTATGCTTCAAGGAGTTCAAGGCTAATAGGATCTATATCTACAACTAATGCATAAAGGTTGAATCGATCACACAAATTATAGATGGGAGAGCACTTAAACAGGGTGATTCCAAAATGGCCTATAAGCTCTCCACTACGTTGTGGGGGACTCTTCAAGGAACCCTAGAAAAATAATTAAAATAATATAAAGTTACTCTTAACAAAGTTATTAGAAGAACACGGAATGGTAAATTGGCAACATATATTAAATAAATACTTCCACCTATATTGGATTCGAGATTAGATTATACCTCTTTTTATTAATGAACCTTGTGCCGGTCCTAATTTTATTACCTTAACCGTACTACCTACCAAATTAATATCTTAATTTCCTACTGAACTATTATATTATAACCATATAATACCTTGGTTACGATAATCATAAACAGGGTCTTAACTCCCAAGGGAGTTAAGGATTTCATAACTCCCGCGCGGGAGTTAAGAATATCATAACTCCCTAGGCAGTTAGGGATTTTTCCATAACTCCCGCTTTTACCTTGAATAGGTGAAACTTTGACAAAAAATAGGAATTTTGGTTTATGGTTTATTTCTTTATAAAAATGGACAAAATACAGTAAATTCAGTAGGAAATAAAATTATCTATGTACCACAGGAATTATCAGGTGTTAATACCCACGGACTCATAATTCCCTTGATACATAAATAACTATAACAGGTAAGATTCATTTTTTGGATTTGGTAGAGATTTTACAGTTTGCAAAATTCATTTTAAAAGGTAGAATCCAAATAAAGTGATCTTTTTTGTCATAGATCAATAAAAGACACCTGGAACTTTGAAGGAAATATCACAGTTCGGAAATAAAGAAGTTGACTTCTCAACTTTACTCCTTCATATCACCTAGTTTGGTCGAGGAGGATTTTTTTCACTATTTTTCTGGGGTTTTCTCATAGACATGGTTTCCTGAAGGGTCCCCTACAACGTGTGTAGATCACCTACCTACCCTGTATGTGTAGATTGGTTCTAGGGTATGACAAATAAAAAAAGGTTTTTACTCAAATCAAATCAAAATATGCTTTATTTTCGTAAAAAAATAAATCCATTGACAAAGCCAGTAATTCCTAAACCTAAAGTTGTAAAATAAAAATAGCATAACATTAAACAAGGTATACATATAGACAGGGCCGTATATAAGGGGGGGTTTAAGGGGTTCAAACCCCCCCCCCCATGCTTATTCTTTTTTTTAAAAATAATCACCAATAAAATATAGGTACAACTAAAATCAAAAAATAAGTATAAAATAATCAATGTGCCTATATATGGAAAAAACCAAAAATCTGCAAAAAGTGAATGTAGATCTGGTAGCCTGTGTCGAAACATGTTGTTTAATACTATACTGCAATCAGTCCAGTTATCTAGGGACACATGCGTTATGCGATCAATCTTTTAAAAATATTTATAAGGAAGCAGGAAAGCTTGTTTTAGGTATGGGTGGCGAGATTAAAAAACCCAGGACTGTGTCGCCAAACTCAGCGTAGAAATGTTCCGGCTGAAAATCCTTAGCAGTACTACCTTAGAAATCTCTACATTCTGTTCATAGATCATGTTATAGTTGAGTTAAAATATCGTTTCTCTGAGCATCACAAATCCATTTCATACTTACAGTTAGGTACTCATACTACAGAAAAATGTTCGGCTGCTAAACTTGAAATATTTGAACCTATTTGTGAATTATATGACATAATTTTTTCTCTATTCTCGGCTGAATTAGATATGTGGCAAAAGAAATGGACTAATAATTATATTGGTAGTGGTAACCATTTGCCAAGAACGGCCATTGACGCGTTTTTAAATACAGATGAGTTCTTTTTTCCAATTATTGAAGATATTTTACAAATATTAGCAACTTTACCTTGCTCTACGGCAACACAGAGAGATCTTTTTTGACTCTAATAGCCGTTTGCACTGAACATTTTAAGGCAGGTTTAACGATAATCAACTTTTAAAGTGACTTTATTACATGTAAAAATGTCACTTTAAACATTGATTATCGTTAAACCTCCCTTAAAATGGTCGGTGCAAACGGCCATAAGACGCCTAAAATCTTGGCTAAGAAATTCAATATTGAACGAACGTTTGAAAGAATTAGCTCTAATGTCAGTTCACAGAGAAATTAATGTTAGTTCCAATAGTAGGACAGCCGGCAATATTAACGGGTATGTGATCGTTGCAATGGATAATTTTTACATAAAAGAATAGCTCATAGTTACCTTTAAACTAAATTGATAAGTGATTATTTTTGACCTACCCTGTATTTTTGAAAAAAAAATCAAAATAGCCAAAAGCTAGCTTTAGTGTATCCAGTCCTATGTATAGGTAACTCTGATTTCCTCTATAGGTTTTAAAATGTCCAAAAAACATTGTAATATTTACTGGAAATAAATACTTATGTAAAAAAAAAAATTGGCATATTTTTTGCTGGAGAATTCAAAAATGATACCAAAAAATCATTTGAACCAAAGAGTTATGCCATGGATGAACTGTTTTGCGAATGAAACACCCTGTTGGAAAAGTCACATTATTTTACGCCTATTTTCATTTTTTTATTTGACTCAAGTTGTAATTCGGCCACCAGACCCTAATTCAGCCAACAACATTGTATCGACAGGAGGCAACATTTACCACACCGCCTATTTCATCGACACAACACTCATCACTGGGCTGCAGAAAACCCAAGAAAATTTCAAACCATCAACTTTCAAGGAAAGAGGTCGATCCATGACGTTTGGCGTGGTGTCTTAAATGATACGAGTTTTGAGTCCAATGTTTTATAACGCCTCACTAAATGAACAACGATATCTTGAATTCCTAGAATTTTTTTTAGATGAATTACCCTTAGAAGAATATCGAACCTGAGTTGCCTTCGGCATGCCTTGCATGATGTCATTCAATTATTACATCAACGCCATACTGAATGGATTGGATGTAATGTCACCATTTTTTTGCCTCTAAAGAATAAAAAAATACTTACTGAAGAAGTCATGGAAAAAAATAGATTATCAGTACAGTACGATGAAATAAATATTAATCAGGGAAATGCTTGGGGAAATGACATTATGACAGCAAGTTTAGACACGCTTCGAAGAGGATATCGATGTCGTTTTGAGAACAAAGGGAGTCTTACCCAAATTATAAGTAGTTTTGTTTCATTAGCTTGAATATTTATGCATTTCTTTTTTTGTCATGGAAAGACTTATTTTCTTCAAATAGATTTTTCATCCTTAAAATTGTATACTTCTTTGAAAATTTGCAATAAATCTTCTTGCTTCTCTTACGTTTTCTTGGCTTTTGTAATACAAAGTAACAATCTGTAATCTCTCTTCTAACGAACAGTTTTTGAGTAAATGGGCTCGGGAGATGGTATTAGAACCTCGATTGAAACCACATGTAGCTTAGGAGGTAGGTGCTGAACGCTATCAAGCGATACTAAAATAGCCTAACTGGAAACAAAAAAAAAATATCTTGGCTGAGATATGAACCACTGATCCTAGACTTTAACATGGCTATTCCACAGTTTAATTATTTCATAATCGATTGATAGCGTTGAGTCCTACCTCTTGTGCTACATGCGTTTCCACCATTTTTCAAGCCCATTTACTCAAAAACTGTACATGAAATTATTTTTGCGCAATAATAGCTTTTGATCAGAATATCGAAATATACCCAATTTCAAAAATTTGTCAGAAAGCCATTTGCCATAAGGTTAGCCATTTGCCATAAGATTTGTGTGGGGACTTTGAAGTGAATGAAAGGTGATTATACCTTTATCACCTATGATAAACTTTTTAAATTAGGAGTGCGCTTCTTGATGCTGAAAATATAGATATTTTTTGCTCACGATTATGCTGTTTTAATAAAAATAGTTGCATCTAGTCCAACAAAAACTGTTTTCAAGGATATACTTTTGTGCTTGTTTGACCAGTAAAATTTTTCTGATTTTCCTCATTTTATGAAAATATTTTCAGCATCGAGAAGCGCACTCTTAAACAGGTATCCTCGATAATTTAAGGCTGGATAAGAATTTAAAAATACTTTTCCAAAAATCATACAAAAAACAAGGTGTTTCATTTTAAAAACAGTTCATCTATGGTGTACCTCTTGGGTTTTTGGTTCAAATGATTGAATTGAATTAAACTATTTTGAATTCTTTCAAAAATACAGGGAAGTCAAAAATAAGCTCTTGCTCAATCCTCGTTGGAACACCCTGTACATATATTTTAAGAATTTTCATTGCCCACTTTCTATAATTCTGTCATATTCTAAGATGGTTGTAACGAGACTGTCAAAGAGAGATGAACTAACGTGAATAACTTGGTGAATAAAAAACATTTTGTATTTCTTGTAGTGAAACCCGATACTTTCTGAGCACTAAAATTTTTTAAAAAATATGCAGTGGGAGAGACAAAGCAGGATCAAAAATAACTATCAAATATTTTTGTTCAAACACTCTTTTTAGTTTTTTATTGCTTACAGAGTAATCATAATAGACAATAGTTTTATGACGTGTATATGACATGCATACACATTTATCCTCGATGCATTTTTCTAAGTTGAAATTGAAGCTACTTTCAGAATGCAATGCAACATCAGACAGTTCTCTCTGGAGCACTGCACAGTCCGTAATTGATGAAAATTCAAAAAACACTTGAAATTTTCCTGTACCCCTGACAATACCTTGTTAAATGCAACCGAAAATCTATTAGTATTTTCCTATTTTCAGAAATTGGAAAAACCCAGAAAAAATACATCAGGTCAGGCACTGTTTGTGTTAGGGCCTCGGTTAGGGCTTCCAGTTAAGAACATAATTTTGTTTACATAAATGTAAGTCTGTTTTTTTTTTAAAGATAAAAGTCAAAATGACATTATGTTGGCAATACAATGTAAAATTGTCAATGCTTTCAAATTTTTTATGTAGAAAAGGCTGGTGTTGCCAACATAGTTACTAAATTTTTGACTTGGGGAATTATCTTTAAAAAAAAAACAGATTTTATAATATAAACTTTATTGGGGTTTGAAAAAAGGACGGTTCAAAATAGTTTATTATTGAAATTTGTGCTAAATTATGTGGTGATAGCTAGCCGAGTCGTTGTCATTTTGTTGATTGATTAAAGTGTTTTATTGTTGTGAACCGTTCTAGAACCGGCTTTTTTTCAAACCCGAATAAAGCAATCATATTATATAGGTACCTACATATTGAAGCGAAAACTAAAGGGATCAAAAAACACTTCAGTCAATGATATTGTTGAGAAAGAGAAACAAGAAGATATGTATTTGTAGTGCTGAATCATGCTTCTGATTATTAAGTAGTTGCTAAAAGATGGTAGTGATACCCCATCCCAAATCTCTAGAAAAAGGATACCTCACAACCTTTCTTTCAATTATTTTTTTGGTATTTTCAACTCTTGATCCTCTACGCAGTATTGCATGTTAAGTCCCTGGTAAAAGATGGTAAGTAGTGGTATCCCATCCAAAATTTGAAGAAAACAATTTGAAACGTATAACAAGTTTTTTTTTTGTGCTGAAATATCTTTTAAATTTTGATTTTACCTTCATCATTTTATCAAATTAATATCAATATTTGAAGGGCTTTAGTCCAAAGTTCAGTGGTGCTAACCTTGTGCTAACCAAAAAGGCAAAATATTTAACATTGTAGAAGACCAAGTAAAAGAGTGAATTTTGCCAAAATAAACAAAAGTTTACATGTGTTTGTTTACCAAGGATATTGAAGGAAGTCCCCAAAAAGCTATGCCTTATCTCTTATCTTGAATATGATCTTATTACCTTAATGTAAATTAAGATGAAACTTTGCTGCAAAGAGTCTTGAATTGAATGAAAAGAAGATGAACATAAATGCTTCAAGAACTACACTTCTTCTTTGTTTTATGTAAAGGAAAGGCCTGCAACTATGGCGTTTATTTATTTATCATCAGAAACAAGTTTATTTGAATCTTTTTTTCAAATATTATGCGCCGCCGATTCGGATTTGAATAAATACACCACATATAGACATATTTTCAACAATCTATATCGGACTTAGATCATGGCCCTTTTCTAAGTCTTTTGCTTTTACAGAGAACAAACGTAAAAGTGATGACCACCTCGAAAATTCCACGGCCAAAACCAAACGTATGGAAACGAAATTACGTTGCACCGACCTGATAGTTTTGGGTTTACCATGGAAAACTACCGAGCAAAATTTAAGGGAATATTTCGAGACTTTTGGGGAGGTGCTGATGGCACAAGTAAGGACCAAACGGGTATTTGCTAGAGAATGAAAAACTAATTGTCAATCTCTTTAGGTAAAAAAAGATCCAAAGACTGGCCAATCCAAAGGATTCGGTTTTATTAGGTTTGCTTCGTATGAATCTCAGATGCGTGTGTTGGCTCAAAGGCATATGATCGATGGAAGATGGTGTGATGTGAAAGTTCCCAATTCAAAAGTAAGAATTTCGTAATAATTTAAATTTATAAGTAATAATAAGTCAGTGTGATTTTGATTGATGGTGAAAATCAGTTCTTAATGAGTTGCTCTGCCTGTGTGTCAAAACCGAGGTCGAACCAATCAAAATCCTTCTGAAATGAACACTAAATTTTCCATATATCCTATTACAATCCAGAATATATATAATCGATTTCTCTTAAAATAACAGGAAGGTCTCATCCAACAAGTTCCTTGCAAAGTCTTCATCGGCCGTTGCACCGAAGATTTAACCTCGGACGATCTCCGAGAATATTTTGGCAAATTTGGTGAAGTAACCGACGTATTCATCCCAAAACCCTTCAGAGCGTTCAGCTTTGTCACATTTTTGGACCCGGAAGTTGCTCAAAGCCTGTGTGGCGAGGATCATATCATCAAAGGCGTGTCAGTTCACGTCTCAAACGCAGCCCCAAAATCTGAAACAAGAGCTGCCAAGCACGGTTACGATCACAGAGGAGACGGACGTATGCATGGACCTAATAGAGGCCCACCGGGAGGACCCGAAGGGCCGGGAGGCATGTATCCACAGAGGTATAATGGACCTCCAGGACCGAATCAGGGAAATTGGGGTAATCAGGGTGGTCCTAGAGGCAACTTGGATATGCCCAATCTGCAAGCATTAGGTGAGATTTTTCAATGTTTTTATGTAAAAATTCTCTGTTGAAATTTTTCTAGCAGAATTCCTGTCTCCCCAAACCTTTGTCCCTCAAATCCCTGCCATGAGAAATACAGGTATAGGAAAAAGGGGCCTTTCTATATAAATATTTAATTTCTCAAAAGACCCTTTTCAGGACCCAGTGCAACCAGTGCTGTCCATATTCCTAACATTGCAAATTTGAGAAACGCCATTACTTGGTACACTAATAGAATGAAATAACGTTATTCCTATTTGTAGTTTGTTCCTTTGTTCCTTTATCAATAAAAAGTTTACTAGTTTCCTGAAACAGTCCTATTTTTTCCTTTGAACAGATAAGTATCATTTTTTATTTACCTCATAATTTTTGTCTAATTTAATTTTCAGTAGATAGTTTTCTGCTTGTTGGGCAACTTTATTTATATCAATTACTGGACTGTGGTCAATAGTCTACGCCTTATGTAGTTGTAGATCGCAGTTGTTGATTTAACTTAAAGTGGTCTGAAAAGTTGATTGCTGGCTATATTTTTCAAACTTTAACATTTATTTGAAAATTAGGTATAACAGGCCAAGGAGGTCAAAACAACAATCAAGGTGGCTGCAATCCTTTAGGATTAGGACTAAATTTAGGGGCTCTACCAATGAACCCCGCTTTGGTAGCTGCAGCTTTAAACCAGGCCAGTTGGGGACTGATTGGCAATTTACAAAACCAACCCGAACCCAATTTCAATCAAGGATTCAATAACGGACCCAATAACAATAGTGGTAAGTGGTAAGCAATTATGAGTTTTTTTGTTTCTGAATTTATTTGAGCCTTTGTTTTTTATTATTTACTAAAATATGCGTAAATTCAGGATTTATTCCAGGCAACAACCAAGGTGGCGGTAACCAAGGGGGCGGGGGCGGTCCAGGTTTCCTTAACTGGATGTCGCAAGGCGGTGGAGGTCCTGGAAACGGCCAAGAGGGCGGTCAGTGGCCAGCCAGGCCTCCGCCAGGTCAAAATCAGGATAATAAGGGCTTTCTGAAGTATGACTAGGATAGGGCTACAGCCACTGTGCAGGCTGTAGGCGTAGTTGTCAGAAGAACTATGGAATTATTGGTAAGAATTTTTATAACATCGTTTACTTAAGGATGTATCTAACAGGAACAGTTTCACTACTTGAAATAAAAATTTTGATAAACTGACATGGATAGGCTTATGATAATATGTATTAACAAATGTATTAAAATTATGTAGGAAACGTTCAAAGATCACCAAGATTGCAAAATTTTGTTAACCCCTACAATCCAATAAATCTCCAACTGAATATGATTGAAAAATGTGTAGATGTTTAATGGATTTTTTTTACTACTAACCTGAGAAATAGTCATTATACTCATTATTCAATCTATTTTTTTAGGAAAAAATTGAATTTCTCTCCCTAGGTTAATAATGAAAATAATGAAAAAATACCTAGGTCAATAATGAAAATGACGTCATGATGCAAGGATATTGTCATGTTTCTATTGGTCCAATTTCAATTTCATACGTCAATTCAAAAAAAATACAGGTTTCTGTAGGTACATATAGGAATTTATCATAAGCTGTTGTTAGAGGGCAGCACTTTCAAAAGGGCGTTCAAAAAAATAATTAAGAGCACAGATTTTGAATATTTTTTTTATTATCTACTAGTAGTAGTAAAAAAAATTCTATATATTCCTCGGTAGAGAAAGTCATTATATACCTTACACATATAAAAGCGCTCGGTATATAATGACCAACTTCTCTACCTATATAATATACTATTAGACCATAGAGGTCAAATATGTGCACTGTTAAAAAGTTGCCTTTAAAGAAATACAATTCTATTATAAAGTGGCTATTTACTTTGTAATATCTTACCCTTCTACACCTTTTGCCTCAGACATTGATAGTCAAAAAAAGGTGAATCTAATTAAAAATCTGTTAAAATATGCTACTAAGAGTAGGTTAGCTTGGGTTCAGACATCACATTGTCCTCCTTTAGGAATAGCCTTGCTGCTTTTTCAATAGCAGTTATTCATTTCGGCATACAGGATGCTCATTCCTGAATTTTTTATGACTCTTGAATGTATCTCAATCTTCTCTTGAATGCATAGTTACCTTTAGCCTGTCCTCGAGAGAATATTTGGCCACTATGTAGTCCGTTGCTTCAAGGAATGTTTGGGCCTCTTAGTGGTCCATCATTTTGGCTGTATCCTTAAGTATGATTGAGTGTCCATTGTCCATAATCGGTTTGGCCTCTGTACTTTGGTGAGCATTTTCATCTTTCTGTCAATAGCCTCCAATGGCCTTCCACCATACTACCACTCCTTATCTTTTAATGGCTCTCACTATCGCATAAGTGATTACAAAAAATAACCCACTCTTTTTATAGGGTGAATTATATTATAACATAACATAACTAGTATAATAAACTATTTTTCTTTTTCATTAGGTAAACAAAAATCTCACCCTCCAGTCATCGTTAACCAATCCAGATAATGGGAGTCATTTAAAGGCACCAACACCCTAAAGAGGTGAACAACTTAAATTAGTAGTTTATTTAGTAATGTTGTGTGTAAATTTATGAATTTATCGCCTATAGAACAAAATGTTATGAATTTTTGTGCAAATCATGGTTTGTTTGCGAAATTTATTAGAAGGGTATTAGTAAATAATTCTAATCTTTAATGCTCATAAATTTGTTTACCAATTGACAAATTTATATATTATTCACTTAGAAAATACTTAGTAGCCCTTAGTGTAAGACAAAAATGAAAGTCTATTTATCAATTTAGAATAAGTGCAAAAGTAATAGATTTAATTGTGTAAGAAGAAGGATGGAATTTTAAGTAAGTGTACAAACTGGAAGAAAGGGAGAGAACATTTGTCTTCGATTGTTTAGAGTTAGCATATATGTATGTCTTTTTTTTCTAATATTATGAAGGAACAATAGACGTCGCAAACAGCGTGACTGAGTTGAGTTTTATTACTAAGTAAGAATTTCAGGTATTTTTGAGAGTGTTTTGTGTTTGATAATGGTCTGGACTTGATGAAGAAACTATGGTGTGTTCAAGAGTTTTATTTAATGGGTATGTTTGTTTCGTTAATATTTTAATTAGATTGAAACAGTGGCGTAGGATACAAGAACATCTTCAGAGGAGAACTTATTAATTGGCAAAAAAAAAAAACAAGGAAAATATTAGTTTACACTACGCCACTGGATATTCATTTTTTTTTTTAGGTAGAAAGAATGTAAAGTTTTTATCAAAATTTTAATTTTTCAAGACCATTTGACCAATTGAATTGATTCGATATTTTCCTTTTTCTCAATCCTGTTATCATTTTCATTTGATGCTTGGTCCCTTCTTGGTCCTTATTCTTGAAACAGGGGAGCAGCGTTCCCAGGAGAACGAGTTTTCTGTCTTTGAAATGCAAATGATAATAGTAACAAAGACGGAACACTTGTTCTCCTGGGAACGCTGCTCCCTTGTTTCAAGAATAAGGACCCAGGGAACTTCTGGAATGGCTTTTTTTTGACTTCACAAAAGCCTTTTATTTATTTAGTGCTGGTTTATTCCCCTTCTGATAAACTGTCTGTATGCAATCTGATGGGTAAAACGCAATCTGTAATCCCATCAGTCAGTCAGTTATCCTCCAACCAATAGAATTATAGAACGATTAATTTATCTTGGAGATAATTACCAGCAAGCTTATCTGAAGATGAATAAACTGGGCCTTTATGTTTTAGCACCAATTTAATTTCAATTTTCCTTTAGGTTGGACTATATTGGAAGCAACAAAGACTGAAGAGTAACCAGAAAAGACTGATTGTATTATAGTAAAACAAATATTATTTGAATAGCTCGGGGGTTTAATGAGCATTTTATTAAAAGGAAAAACAGTTTGACTAATTTGCGTTTTACTCTCCTTTGTTCATAAGTTTTCCGATCCTAATCTCATAATGAATGTTGCTGTTGCATTGGATTAAAAATTCCCGCTTTTCACTAGAATGGTCATATAAAGACAGATGGCGCCTACCCTGGTTATGCACAAATACAGATTTCTGTAATTTAATTTGACAATTAACCTAACTTTATTGTTCACGAAAAAACGTGGTTTGTTTTGTTTACTGTTTACAAACTTTACAACTATTCTTATTCTTCAATAATTATGTTAAAAACTTATTTAAATTCAACTCCCAGTCTTAAATTTATCCTTTTAACAGGCAAGTTATATTCTTTCTAATTATATTAGCTAAATATTTGCCTTCAAATAAGGTCCAAAACCCTTCTTTTTACTAACAATGTTCAATTACTTTTTAGATTACATAGATAACAAGGCGACAGATCTTTTCAACTACATACTGAAACCGCACCTAAACCAAAATGTAAGCTATAAAACCCACTACTGTGTCTTTGAAGGTGTTTTCAGACGAGCTGAAGTTAAATTTCAAGATTATCCTAATATTGTTTTGCATAACTTTGTCAAGGATGTTGAAAAAGAAGCAGAAAATGATAGTTTTATCGAAATGGCTTTGAGGCTTAGCAATAATGCAGTCATTGTAGTTGATTCTTTGGCTCATGTGATTTTACGATATGGTCTTCCTGCTGTTTATAGGATATTTAATCATTTGAAAAATAACAAAGGTAATCTATAGCTGGATTAAAGAATTTTAAGGTGGGTATTCATTAGAGCATTCACTACATACATTGGTACATACTTACTTGTCTCCAAGCATAACTTTATTGGTGGTCTGTTGGGTAAATCTCAGTTGCTCAAAGAGATTAAGTTTGTTCTGTTTGTGTGCGTGTGGCTCATTCAGTTTGTTTGGCCAAAATGCTCTAACAAATACCCACCTTTAGAGACATCCACTAGGGGGGTACTGGAAAGCTAAAAGAGTCGGTCAAATCTAGCTCACATTGTTTTATTTAGTATTTATTGTTATATCATGATTGTTTTGCTAATTGCTTATAACTAGTACATTAATTTCTTCTTCGAAAAGTAATATTAGTAGTCTCAGTCCATCAAAATTATGCTTTCTGTGGGGCCAAAATTAGACTTCGCAGGGCACTTTTTTCAAAAAACAGAATATTGGTACCTCATAATCCAGAGAGTCCATCTACAAGTTACGCAGATATTATTTCAAAAAGCATTGGGGCTTACGGCCCAAAAAACGTGATTATCTTTGTTTAATATAAGGAAAATTGCGAAAAATGTTGTACTTTTCATATCTACACTACAATAATAGCTAAGCTAGGTTTCCAAATAAAAAAAAAAGTTGCTAATATGTGTGCAGATCATAACGAAACATCTACCATAGCTTTCCATTGATTGATAATCAACTTATAGCAATTCATGTAAAGAAAATCAAATAAAACGGCTCACGCTCATTGGCTATTGGTGTATGCTTTCTCATCGCTTCATATGTCCATTCTCAATAGCACTTAATACCGTAAACATGTATCTATCAAATCAAATCAAAATATGCTGTATTGATAACAAAGCTTCCAATATAGACTAATATTGATACGATATAATACAATACAATTAAAAATATCCAAGTGATTGAACATTTTTTCACTGTTGTACTTAGTGGATAGACTTTTGAGTAAGTGAGGATTTGGGAATTGTTGTCCGTCGTTTTTCATCTGATACTTTCCATATGAGGAGCGAGAGGGTGAAGCATATGGCAAAAACAGGTGTGACGTCAGGTGACCATTGGCGTTCTAATGTAGGGTGCCACCAGCTCACATTCCTTAAGTGCTGGTACTTTTGCTCTCATTTGACAGCCGTTAAAAATAATCAGGAGTTTGAATGTGCTCTAACTACATCATACTTATAGACCTTGGCGCATGCAAAACTTTGACGACATATCAAATTCGTTAGTCGAGAGCAAAAGTATCGGCCCTTAAAGTATCATATTAAAATCGACGGAATTTACATCCAGATTGAAGCCAAATAGAGCACCAACACTGTCCAAAGTATAAAATGCCCTAGAGACTAAAAACTTCTAGGTCATACACCAAATTCTTCTGTAACCTTTCCTAAGTTCAGTAGGCAAAGCATTAAACTTTTTTTTTGCGTTGTAGACAAAGGAGTTCTTTACTAATGTCAAATGTGGAATGGGCAAGTGTAGCACTTGTTGACTACGAGCTCCATACTGACCTTGTCTATCCAGCGCCTCAATAATTTTTTAATCTACGTCGGTGTCATGACACATTTAGCATAGTCATTTGAATGTCATTCATTAGGTACTTCATAATAGCACTAGTGCGATTATGAGAATTCATAATAACACCCAAGTTATGAAATAAAAAATAAAGGAAGTTAGTTACCAGAAGAACCTTTTCATTGATGCTGTCTCGATATCCGGAGGGGCACTTTGGGACTCCGAATCAACCATATTAATAAATATTTTCCACTTTAAAACAATAAAACTGAATTTGTGGTACAAAAATGGACTCCAATATTGAAGCTGCCAATGTCAAAATTCCAAAAATTAACAAGCGCGTTCGCCGAATAGGATGGGCACTTGCTGAATTTTGAATTTTAATAGTTTTCGCTATTTTAAGGCAAAAATAATCTGTTCATTAGTAAATATCATTAATAACAATATTAAAGACAACACATACACTTTCAAGAATAAATATACAGCATAAGGTTAAAATTTTATGCTGCAGAAATAGAGGTCTGCATGAAGATCCCTTTTTGACTCTAGATACATTTCTAAGTACTCTCTTCTGCAACATATACAGCCATACAGATTTAAGAAGAGAGCTTGCACAACACCCCCAGTATATTCCATAGGATAAATATGATTAAATTAAAGAGAAGTAGGCATTCCTAGCTATTTCAAGGCCAAGGTTATCTGATATTTCTCTAAACGGCCATTATAGCCGTTTCCACCAACTATTTTAGGCAAGCCCTAAAGTTAAATATTCCTTAAACTGACATTTCCACATCTTAAGGGATACTTATCATTAAGGCTTCCCCAAAAATAGTTGGTGGAAACGGCCATAAGTGCATAGCAGCCAGAAGCAATTTTTTAATTAAGAATTATTTGACATGTTCAGAAAACTTGAAGTTTTTATCTATTGTTAAGCCAACAAATTTATTCTATTCGGCATTCGGCAGACCTTCATTTTCCAACTGAATGTTGTTAAAGTCACATTTAATATTGAGAATATTAAATGTTGAGGGATAATCGGTTTGCATCAAACCATTCTTCCAACAAAACTGCATCTTCCTGAATAATCTTAGAAAGCCTGTCAACTTCCTGGTCATACCATAGAATTGTCTGATCATCCGCAAACGCTGGAAATCTCTCCTTATTGGAAGATTCTTTCCCCATTGAAAACAACTGACTGAGTCCTACCACTTAACCTGTAAGTACTACTACCAAAATGTAGTATCATAAGTGCTACTATCGGGTCTCGGGGACCCATAAAAAAAAAAAATTGTATGCTGAAAAAAAATTAAACATTTTAGGCAAAGTTGAACCTGAACTTGTTATTCATAGTTTCTTACATAGAATCCACGGCTAAATGCAGTTTGGACATACCAATGAAGCGCATTTCAGACAAATAGGAATTTTGCACTTTAAACAGCAATTGTTGGTTTTTCTGTCTTTTGTACTAGGACAAACTCCACACCGGCAACGTTTTGACTTGGCAAGCTGTTGAGGAGCTATTGCAGAATCCCCTAATTCCTCTCCAAGTAATTCTGCACACATATTCCTGATTTTTCTAGGTACGTGATTCATGTTCATGCGCGTTCTCAAGTATGGTTCGCACAATTGTTGAGAAAATGTTTTTATGAATGAGTATCTTGATATGTTTTTATTCTGATTCTTTTGGAAAAGTGGCACTAAGACTACTACTGGGTCCACAGGACCCGAACTCGCAAAAAATCGTGAAAATAGGACGGATATGTCTACGCTCGATAGTGTCGTTGCACACACTGGTTCTAAGGGTATCGCCCTTATCGCCAGGAGCATAACTGACTGCTCAGTACCCCCCTCCCCAAATTCTCCGAAATATTTTAAAACAAATAAACGCTCGAGTCTCATGGACCCTGGTAGTAGTACTTACGGGTTCAATGTGATCGCAACGACTCCAAAGCCAGACTCCTAATACCATGGATACTAAGTTTACCCAACTCCTCTAGAAATACCTGCAACCTAAAACCATCGAATCTTGGACACCCTGTACTTTTACTAGACAAATCATGACTAGAGCTATGCTGCAGTAAAAAGAGTTTAAATCATTTGCTCTGAGATTTGAGGAGACCGTGGACGAATTTCTACTTCTAAACTGATTTACAAGTTCCCATGATTCTCTATTTTTATTGCAAGATCAATTTGATTTCCATAGTAAAA